TTTGTTCTAATTGTTTGTGTATGCAACATAATTCAATAAACATTTTTTAAAAAAGAAATAAATAAATAAATTTAAAATCACAGATCCTCAGCGAACTGTTACAGAAGATTTCTTAATTTTCTGCATAGGCCTGGGGGCCATGGAAAAGCTTTCAGCAAACGTTTGAAGGTTAAAACAGAAGGGACCTTCTGAATCTCTATTGGAGGGACACTCCAAAGTACAGGGCAAATGTCATGTCAGCTTCATGTCTTTGTCAAATGAGCTTCACCAACTCAGGGGATGGCCAATGATGCTCCTACAGATAATCCCAGTGACAAAGCTAAAATATAAGAGTTTAGGAGGTCCCTAAAATACCCTGGACCTCAGTTGTTTGAGGTTTTATCAGTTAATACAAGGACTTTGAAATTGGATGGTTGTTGTTGTTGTTGTTGTTGTTGTTGTTGTTGTTTAGTCATTTAGTCGTGTCCGACTCTTCATGACACCATGAACCAGAGCACCCCAGGCATTCCTGTCTTCCACTGCCTCCCCCAGTTTGGTCAAACTCATGTTCGTAGCTTCGAGAACACTGTCCCACCATCTCGTACTCTGTTGTCCCCTTCTCCTTGTGCCCTTAATCTTTCCCAACACCAGGGTCTTTTCCAGGGAGTCTTCTCTTCTCATGAGGTGGCCAAAGTATTAGAGCCTCAGCTTCAGGATCTGTCCTTCTAGTGAGCACTCAGGGCTGATTTCCTTCAGAATAGATAGGTTTGAACTTCTTTCAGTCCATGGGACTCTCAAGAGTCTCCTCCACCACCACAATTCAAAATTCCAGCTCTCACTTCCATACATCACTACTGGGGAAACCATAGCTTTAACTAAACGGACCTTTGTTGGCAAGGTGATATCTCTGCTTTTTAAGATGCTGTCTAGGTTTGTCATCACTTTTCTCCCAAGAAGCAGGCGTCTTTTAATTTCGTGACTGCTGTCACCATCTGCAGTGATCATGGAACCCAAGAAAGTAAAATTTCTCAGTGCCTCCAGTTCTTCCCCTTCTATATGCCAGGAGGTGATGGGACCAGTGGCCATGATCTTAGTTTTTTTGATGTTGAGCTTTAGACCATATTTTGCACTCTCCTCTTTCACCTTCATTAAGAGGTTCTTTAATTCCTCCTCACTTTCTGCCATCAAGGTTGTGTCATCTGCATATCTGAGGTTGTTGATGTTACTTCCAGCAATCTTAATTCTGGTTGGATGGTAGATAGGCAAATGTGTTGATGATGGTGTCACATATTGGTGTCTATGTGACACCATCAGCAGTCTAGCTGTCAGCTCTTAACAGGTTCTTCCCTCTAGGAAATACAGAGTTACTTCTGATATATTACAGTGCATCAAATATATGCTTTATGTTCTGCTATGCAGTTCTTGCAAATTATAATGTAAAATGACTGTTTCTCTACACTGGTGTTCCCCAGAACTCCTTCCCTCACTACAACCTTTTGCGCCATACTTTGGTTCCTACTTTGAGTCACTATCATGACACCATCTATATATGTGCCCTCCCTTCTCCATGAAGTCTGGGAGTTGACCTTTTTGCTTTCATGTCTTCTTGTGTTCAAAGAATGAATTGTTCTTTGGGTGTGCAAAAGTTGCCTGATCTTAGTTGGGAAAGCTTGATCTGCACTATTAGCACCTGATGTGAACACATCAGTGCCTTGGACTGTAAGATAAATTAAGGAACGCAGAAATAAATAATCCTCTCCCTTTGCCTCCCCTGCAGCCACCAAAAGATGGTCCAGATTTTTGGGTGTGGGACAGTGTGCAGGAGGGGGAGAGGGGAATTTTTTTTTCCTTCCATGAACTTTCTTAAACTAACTTTTAGTAGGATCCAAGTCCAGTTTCAGGCAAATCCCTCCTCTCCCAGCAAATCCCCATACCCCAACTTTCAGGAGAGGACCCTATCCCTCTGGAGTGACTTTTCAGGGAGAAGTGCATGAGCAAGAAGCTTGAAGGATGCTTTCTGCTGACATGCCTCTTTGCTCTCCCGTTCTGTTAACGAACTGAAATAATAGCTTTTAGGCTGATCACCCCACTTCATTTTCTTGCTCCCCACATATACCTTTGATCTTTGCAGTGCATAAGGGAACATTTCTGCAAGAGATTCTGCAACAACAGCTAGAAGAGTTCCCCTGTTGGCAAGAAATATCGTCAGCTAAAGTCAACTTTTATCATAAGCAGGATCTTGTCTGCTTGATGAAAAAGTTACAGCTTTAGCACTCCATAAGCCTTTTCTGATTAACACCAGAGATTCCTGGTTTTAGGTCACATGCAAGACAGCTGATTCAGAAGGCCTTAACATTAAATATAATTTGAGACCAGTGTTGGAACTTTTGCTCTGAATTTTGGAGGTGCCAGGGCAGTGGCAAAAGAGGCCATTTGCCTGCTGCCATCTATTTTGCAGTGGTACATCAAGGTTCTTCCAGGCTCTTGGTTGTCAGCTGCAAGGCCAGCTTACCATTAAGTAGGAAATCAGGCCAGTCCTACCACTAGACAGAGTGAGATGGCTGCCTTAGGTGGCAGATGCTGTGGAGGGAGGCAGGTTGTGGAATCAAGATGTTGGCAAACAGTGCTCCCCTGAGGTGTGGTGAAGGTTGCTGTCCCACGAGCGAAGCTGAAGTAAGAACCAACTCCCAGCTTCTAAGAGGTGGTGCCATCATTTTCATTCCATCAGGTAGCAAAGTATCTTGAGCCAGTTCTGGCCCACTGACACCTGGGCTTCATACATGTGTCTGATGCCTTGCCTCGTGACATTATAGTGCCACATGTAGGAGTGTTCTGGGGAAAACAAAATGAGGGCAAGCAGTTGACAGCTGTTAAGAAAATCCCCCAATTTCAGCACCAGCAATCTTCATGGGTACAGCCTATTTATGCCTCCCATTGATTCTAAACCACCATTGTGAGGAACTCCACATACACACAAAGGCCCTCTTCCCCTCAACAGGTCTTTTCCCCACTAAATGCCAAAAGTTATCACAGATGCAGCCTGTTTATCACAAATATTTCGCATGACTGCAGGAAGATGTCTGCTGGCCAAATGAAGCTATGACTTGACAGCAATGGGAGGCTTACTGTGATTCCTGACACCCAAAATGGGCTTTGGTTTGCATTGGAAATGAGCCAAGCCATTTCCCAATTTGGAGGTGTGGGAGAAATGGATCACTGTAGTACCAATATAATCTATCCTAAGACAACATGTCTCCTCCGTCTTTACTTGTGGTTTCTACTGTTCCTCTGGTGTTGTGACTTTGAAAGTCCAAATGGACTACTGATGGTCAAGAAGAAGAAGCTGGTGGAGTTTGGGCTGATATTCTTTCATGTATTGATAGGGAATTGACCAGCCAGTTCTTTGGCTGAGGCCGCCAAGTCTGTCACCTGCTATCAGGAGAAGGACCCACAGCTGTTTTCCATGTAAAAGGTTCCAGGTTCAATCCCTGGCTTCTCCAGGGATGTCTGGGAAAGACTCCGATCTGAAATCCTAGATAATACTGAGTTAGATGGGCCAATATTCTGACACGTTATGTGGCAGCTGTTGGGAAACTGTGTACGTGCAGCTACTCACACAGAGTCAATTAAGGTTTGGCAGACAGCCAGAAGGCAATCTGAAGGAGTAAGTCTGCCTGGTGATAACAAAGACGTGGAGACAGCTCCCTGATTGGTCAAGCTCTCTCAAAGGAGTGATAATTAATGGCCTACTAACTGGAATGTGATAGTTCAGAGTTCAGAGGTTCAGAGTTCTGTGTGTCAGTGTAGGAGTTGTGAGTCGTGTCAGAGAGAGCTAGCTAAAGATCTGTGTTCTGTTCCTGTAAATAGTCCACTGTATATAATAAACACCTAACTACAAGTTCCTGGTTCCTGCTTCGTCTATCGTGTCTGCAGCCAAGTCTCCAATTGCTTCCATGGATTCTGCGTGTACTCTGCTAGGTCTGGCTAAGGTCCTGCAACTAGTCAGAAAGTTGCAAAACACCAGTAGGTTTTGCCAATAGCAGCTTATGATGCTCCTGTGTTAAAATGTGGGGAAGGGCCGTAGTTCAGTAGCAGAGCACAGTGGTGTAGCGTGGGTTGCCAACACCCGGGGCCACACAGGGAGGCAGGGAAACGGAAGCACCCACGTCACCCAGAAGATTGCAGCTGCAGAGATAAGAAAAGAGTTGTTCTGTTGTCTGGAGAGGTTACTTCCTGGTTCTCAAGGAGAAGCTGTTTTCAACAGAGCCCAGCAACAGAAGTGCACAGCTGTATTGAGGCAGCACCAGGTGCTGAAATTTTGCGCCCCTAACAATTTTGCGCCTGGGGCAACTGCCCCTGTGTACCCCCATGCTACTCCACTGGTAGAGCACATGCTCTGCATGCATTAGGCCCTGGGTTCATTCTCTAGGTCAGGCTTCCTCAACCTTGGCCCTCCAGGTGTTTTTGGCCTACAACTCCCATGATCCCTAGCTGGCAGGACCAGTGGTCAGGGATGATGGGAACTGTAGTCTCAAAACATCTGGAGGGCCGAGGTTGAGAAAGCCTGCTCTAGGTTGTGCTGGGAAATATTCCTGTCCAAAACCCTGGAGATCTGCTGGCAGTCAGTGCAGACAATACTAAGCTAGATATACCAAAAGCTCTGGCTCAGAAAGAGGCAGCTTCCTATGTTCCTGTGAATCAAACCTGCAGCCCCCTTGACCCCATAACTGGAGTTGCTGGTGGTAACATGGGAACGATCCATATGATTCTGCCTATCCACACAGCACCCTTAATGGTGTAAAGCAGCAGTCAGCTGACAGTGTGGGGGAAGCAGCTTTCCAGCAGTAACCAAAACACAAAGATCACCCTTTGAATCACCTTTTGTTAGAGACATAAAAGGGGGAAGTTCAGGGAAGGCTGGAGGGTTGGTGTTGCCTGCCACTGCATGAATGCCAGAACTCACAAGCCACTGAATAGCTTCACTATATACTGTTAGTTAAATGACTATTCATGTGCTTAAAGCCCAGACTGACAGCAATGGCAAAAATTTATTGCGGATCATTCACTTAGATTTCAATAAACGTTGCTCCTGTATATACCAAGTTGTCTCCAAAGCCATATATTATTATCTTTAAGTGGAAGGCATCTTTGATGATAGCACAATCCATTAGCTATTATAAGCAATTAATCCCTTTGGATCAACTCCTTAAAAGAACCTTTGACAAATATAAAGAAGCTTTGTAGATTTTTTAAAAATAACATTATGATATTAAGCAGAAATGCAACTGCTGGCAAGTGGAACAGAGGCTTAAAATGAGTTGGGTTTTGTTCTGCAAAGTCAAAACATAATCCAAGTGTAAAACAATCCACTGGGAAGTTAGAGAATGGCTGTGGCCTGCAGCTCAGTGGCAGAAAATCTTCTTTGCATGCAAAAGGTTCCAGTTGAATTCTTGGCATCTCTAGGTAGGGATGGGAAAGACCCTGTCTGAAATTTGGGAGGGCTGCTGCCCATCAGTGTTGGCAACTCTGATCTCCATGGACCAGTCGTCTAACTCAGTATCAGGCAGATATCTATCCATAATCTGCAAATAAATAAAAAAATTATACTAGAGACAATGCATTGAAGTATTTAAATGGTTTTTTAATTGTCCTTGTGTATTTACATGTATGCACACCAGAGACTAGATACATCCATCTGCTCACCACACCCTTGCCAGGGATTCATAGATGTCAACTTTTCCCTTTTTTTAAGGGAAAGTCCCTTATTCCAAATAGGATTCCTCACAAGAAAAGGGAAAAGTTGACAGCTATGCAGGGATTTCATCTCTAGAATAGGAATGGGGAACTGCCCCCTTCCAGATGTAGTGGGACTTCCAGCTCCTATCAACCCCAGTCAGTATGGCCAATGATCAGGGAGGATGGGAGTTGCTTTTGAAGGCATCTGGTTGGACACTAGGAGAACAGGATGCTGGACTAGATGGGATACTGGCCCAATCCAGCAGGCTCTACTTATGTAACTCATCAACACTTGAAGGACTATGGATTCCCCAACTAGGCAGTTTGGAGGGTGAACAGAACTCCAAAGGCTGCCAGACCTAGAAACTAATTGACCCAGGCAAAAATAAGGCTAGTGATCAGGAAGCAGGGACAGTTGAAGCACATGAAAACATCTCCCCAAGCTTTGGATTTTGGACGATGTCTTATACCAGGTCAGGCTATTAATCCATGATCTGGCCAGTATTGTTGGGTAGTATCATTTTGATACTTGTTTGCTTCCCTGGGCTCCTTAATTACCTTAAACGATAATGGTGATGATGATGGTGGCGGTGGTGGTGCTCTGACTGGCAGGATCTCTCTAGCACACTGGTTCTCGAACTTTTTTCTCTGGGCCACACTTTCAGAATAAAAATTTGCTTGCACCACACCTTTTCGTTGTTGTTGTTGATAAGGAATACATAGGGAAACCCTTTGTCTCTTGCTCTCATTTTTAAAAGATATCTATCCATATTTTGCAAATAAAAAAATACTTTGATACCATCCTACAGTGGTACCTCGGGTTAAGAACTTAATTCGTTCTGGAGGTCCGTACTTAACCTGAAACTGTTCTTAACCTGAAGCACCACTTTAGCTAATAGGGCCTCCCGCTGCTGCCACACCGCCGCTGCACGATTTCTGTTCTCATCTTGAAGCAAAGTTCTTAACCTGAAGCACTATTTCTGGGTTAGCGGAGTCTGTAACCTGAAGCGTATGTAACCCAAGGTACCACTGTATATTATACTGAAATGTTTAAATGTTTCTTTGATTGTCCTTGAATCTTCCCACTACACTTGCCATTCTCTCTAGCCACACCAGTGTGGCGCGCCATGCCATTTGACAACCACTGCCCTAGGGCCTTGGGCAAAGATCTTTCCCATCACCTGGTATCTTCATGTCAAGGATCTTCAGCGTCCCAGATTTGTGTTCCCCAACTGAGGGAGCCTTCTAAGGTCTCATCATGTAATTCCTCAAGCTGTGGTTACTAAAAAGTACCTCCTAAGCACTCCCTCCCATGTTTCCTTTCATCCTGTTTCTACCTGGTCCCGACATCACAGCACACTGCCAACGTTAGGAATTTGCTCCAAGGCGGATGCATCGATTTTGCCTTCTCTGCGAATGATTGGCACAGAGTTTCATGGCCACAAGCTTTATGGCAAAAGTATACCTCTTAAACAGATGGCATCCATTATTCATGCTTCTCTTCATTGTTCATACTTGACGCACTTGAGAGAAATGCAACTAAATATCTCGGTTAGGCATTAAGAAAAATGGGCATGCAATGACTTCAGTTTTCATGCTCAGTGCTAGGGCAGCTGGCCATGCCCCTTCCAATATAAGTATTAATTTTCTTATGTAAATATCTCAGGATATATATATATATGTAAGGCAAAGGTAAGATAAAGGACCACTGGATGGTTACATACAGTCAAAGGTGACTATGGGGTTGTTGCACTCATCTCGCTTTCAGGCCGAGGGAGCTGGCATTTGTCCACAGACAGCTTTCTGGGTCATGCGGCCAGCATAACTAAACCACTTCTGGTGCAACAGGACACCATGATGGAAACCATAGCACATGGAAATGCTGTTTACCTTCCCGCCACAGCGGTACATATTTATCTACTTGCTTTCAAACTGCTAGATTGGCAGAAGCTGGGACAGAGCAACAAGAGCTCACCCCTTCACGCGGACGCAGGTGGCGCTGTGGTCTAAACCACTGAGCCTCCTGGGCTTGCCGATCGAAAGGTCAGTGGATATAAATATACACCACATACACAAGGTCAGGCCTTTCTAATTCATCTGAGAAATCTACTAAACTCTAATTTGATATTTCCAATCTTCCCTTGACCCATTGACATGCACTCCAAGAGTAGGAAAATCCTACCCTTATTGTGAAGATATCCAAGGGGTAAAGGGGGAACTAATCTACTTAAGTCAGGGTTGGGTCTATGGGATCTGTGGTTTTTACTTGAGTAACAAGATTCAACAACTCGTGCAACCAACTTTGTGCCCAAGACATACACTGAGAATGTAAGAATTCAGAGTCCAGGAACACCAGAACTGAACTGAGTTTACAGTCTTTCCACACAAAAATCCATCTACGTGGGGCTACCTTTGAAGGTGACTCGGAAACTGCAATTAATCCAGAATGCGGCAGCTAGACTGGTGACTGGGAGTGGCTGCCGAGACCATATAACACCAGTCCTAAAAGATCTTCATTGGCTCCCAGTATGTTTCCAGGCACAAATCAAAGTGTTGGTGCTGACCTTTAAAGCCCTAAACGGCCTCAGTCCAGTATACCAGAAGGAGCATCTCCACCCCATCATCCAGCCTGGACACTGAGGTCCAGCTCCGAGGGCCTTCTGGCAGTTCCCTCGCTGCAAGAAGGGAGATTACAGGGAACCAGGCAGAGGGCCTTCTCGGTAGTGGCGCCTGCCCTGTGGAACATCCTCCCAGCAGATGTCAAGGCAATAAACAACTATTTTACTTTTAAAAGATAACTGAAGGTGGCCCTGTTTAGGGAAGTTTTTAATGTCTGGTGCTGTATTGTTTTTAATATTCAGTTGGAAGCCGCCCAGAGTGGCTGGGGAAACCCAGCCAGATGGGCGGGGTATAAATTATTATTATTATTATTATTATTACACTTCACTGCATGTCTCCTTCTCCCCAGCTGCCAGACACATGTCCCATTCTCACATTCAAAATCACTCCAGGTGGACCCAATCTAACCCAAGGTGATCCGGCATTGGCCAGATATGATCCCAAATCAGTTTGTTCTCTAGGATTCAGCCAGACCTGATGTGCAGCCCTAAAAAATAATAAGAACAAATATAATAAATAAGAATAAATGTTATGGATAAAAACCAGTTGCATCAGGCTCCTCTGGACCGATCTGCAAAATAAGTTTCCTACTCTTTCCATAAGGCTGCCTTTCCTGCAAGGCTCCTGTAATACCACCAAGGCAGGTAAAAACAAAAGTCACTTCTTATTGCTGCAGACAGCAGCAGCACAAAGCCTCTGAGTGCTTGACTCTCGGAGACTGCCATAGCAATCCCACAGAGGGAACCTTGTCAATGGCAGCGAGTGATACCATGCCTTTGAAGGGAATACTCCTAACAATCGGGTCTGACAGACCTGTTGTTTTAGCAGAAGGTTTATCATTGCCTCTGCGGAAATTAGGTGTCCTCCACTGCACGGATTTGCAAACATGAAAAGACAAGTCTGAGTCGATTGACTGGAATCTCAATGACGCAGTGGTACAGCAGGATAACAAGGGCAGGGCGTTTAATTCCTGCCAACGTTTCCAAAACCCCAAAGACACTGTTTTGACTAAGAGTCTAAAAAGCAAATCGAACCGTACCTCTGATCATGAAGGCAGCTCTAGGGGAACAAAAGGGAAACAGCTCCCCACCCTATCCTCCAATGGAAGATCAGCCCCTGTATTGTTAACATGGTGTGAGGAGCGAGCATTGTGTAATATATACCTGAAGGAGAGTCTCCACCCCCATTGTTCTGCCCAGACACTGAGGTCCAGCGCCGAGGGCCTTCTGGCAGTTCCCTCAATGCGAGAAGCCAAGTTACAGGGAACCAGGCAGAGGGTCTTTTCGGGAGTGGCACCCGCCCTGTGGAACCCCCCCCCCACCAGATGTCAAAGAGAAGAACAGCTACCAGACTTTTAGAAGACATCTGAAGGCAGCCCTGTTTAGGGAAGCTTTTAATGTTTTACAGACCACTGTATTTTAATACTTTATTGGAAGCCACCCAGAGTGGCTGGGTATAAATAAATTATTATTATTATTCTTATTATACAGTGGCACCCTCAGGTTACAGACACTTCAGGTTGCAGACACTTCAGGTTACAGACTCCGCTAACCCAGAAATAGTACCTCGGGTTAAGAACTTTGCTTCAGGATGAGAACAGAAATTGTGCGGCGGCGCAGCGGCAGCAGCGGGAGTCCCCATTAGCTAAAGTGGTACCTCAGGTTAAGAACAGTTTCAGGTTAAGAATGGACCTCCAGAACAAATTAGGTTCTTAACCTGAGGTACCGCTGTACTAAGTAGCAAATAAATTCCTATAGACACGCTGTAAGTGACAGTAAGATGTAGTGGAAGATGTTCTCCGTTGCTCCAGAGCAGAGATGGGGGAACTTTTTCAGCCCAAAGGAGCCACATGCCAGCAGTGGGAGGGGCCAGATAAAAAGTAGACGGGGCCACAATATAAATGTTGACTTTGTGGAATAGGCAAAGCTCTACACAGACTCACCTGCATGCCTCTATCCACTATCTAGACAAACAATAGGTATTGTCAGAATTCAGGGACACATTCCAGTCAGGCTCAAACAATCAAGGAAGGTGTGATGCCATAATGATGTCTCAGACTAGCCTACCTCACAGTAATGTTGTGGGGGGGGGGAATAGGAGGGGCAATTAGAGCTCTTTAGTGGAGAGGAGGGATAAAAATGAAGCAAATGAGCAATGTATTTTATCTCTCCTATGATGGGGGGGGAGTCAATATAAGTAGAAGAATTGTTTATTAAAAAAACAACAACACCTCATATTAAGAAGCAGAGGCAATAATTTTCTACTTAGGTGTTCTACTTTGCCAGGTTGGGGGGTGGGGCAGTAGATCGTAAAGCCATACCTCTCATTTCACGGTTCTAGTTTCTACAGCTTTGAACACAAAAAGGTCAAAATCAGATGCAAATTATATACTCAGCTTCATATCAATGTCTCCTTACGCTATCTTAGAAATCTGCAAGTAAATTAAACCGTGTACAAATAATGCATATTATCCTCACCGCTCAAATGTTCATGGTTTATAAAGCTCAGTAGATAACTTTCAGAGCTTTTAGAATCCCCAGAGAGCTTGAAAGTGTTGTTGCAAGTATTCAGTGAAACCTGGAGCCTATTCCTCACCAAGAGTTGGCTAAGGTTTTCTGCAATATATAAGGGGTGGGGAACTTTTTATTTCAGCCTGGGGGCCACATTCTGTTCTGGCCACCTTCCCAGGGGCCATGTGGCAGTGGTGGGCAGAGCCAGAGGCAAAAGTGGGCAGAGCAATGAATATAAAGTCTACCTTTGTACAGTAGGTAAAGGTAAAGGTACCCCTGACCATTAGGTCCAGTCATGGCTGACTCTGGGGTTGCGGCGCTCATCTCACTTTATTGGCCGAGGGAGCCGGCGTGCAGCTTCCGGGTCATGTGGCCAGCATGACTAAGCTGCTTCTGGTGAACCAGAGCAGCACACGGAAACGCCGTTTACCTTCCCGCTGGAAGTAGACCTATTGATCTACTTGCACTTTGACGTGCTTTCAAACTGCTAGGTTGGCAGGAGCTGGGACCGAGCAACGGGAGCTCACCCCGTTGTGGGGATTCGAACCACGGGAGCTCACCCCGTTGTGGGGATTCGAACCACCGACCTTCTGATCGGCAAGTCCTAGGCTCTGTGGTTTAACCCACAGCGCTACCCGCGTCCCTACCTTTGTACAGTATCCTCCATCAAATCATAGAATTGTAGAGTTGGAAGGGACCACCAGAGTCATCTAAGTCCAACCTCTTGCAATGCAGGAATCTTTTGCCCAACATGGGGCTCAAACTCGCAACCTTCAGAATAAGAGTCTCATGCTCTCCCAACTGAGCTAAGAAGGTTGATGCTTGTAAACAAAAGGTGGTCAGGAACACATTTCAGCTAGGCAAAAAGGCTTGTGGAGGGTGAAAAGGAGGGACATGGCTTGCAAAGGAGGAGTGTGACATGGCGAGGACAAATTTAGCCCCCGAGCCTGTGGTTCTCCACCCCGATGTGAAAGCACAGGCGTGTTTCGTCAAAGGCAAATAACCATGGAGCTACACAATTATGTTGCCGTGTAAATAATAGCAGTGATTTCTGTATTTGTGAGGGAGGGGAAATGAGGCTGGAGTTAATGTAGCATCAAATGAATTTTCCATTTTAGTAATTAGGCATTGGCTTTCTTTTTAAATATTTCATGCAGAGAGCAGCTAAATAGAATGGACAATCTATGCGAGACAACAGAGGGGAATAGTTTGAATAAAACTTTTTTTGCCTGAGGCAATAGATATCAGCATGTATCAGCCATAAGCAAACGTCGTTATTTGATGGAAAAATTGCATGCTGTAGGACCAGCTATTAATGACCATTGCAGAGACAAAATGAACAGACTTTTTCTTTGCAATGCAATGCCCTTCCTGGCCAGGACATCGAATCCAAATCTTATATGCTAATAGTGAATTAATTCTGCAGCTAAAAAGGTGTTATCCATGAACAAGACATCAGCATGCTCAGAGAAATCCCCAGGTTTGCTGAACTGGGGGAGAACCTTGAGAAAGAAAACAAGGATGGGGAATTATTATGGGCTGAGCATGCTCAGTGGATGTGGAATGCTGCCTGACTATTGGGGGCAAAGGAGCATCAGGACGGAGTGTCTTGCAAGATGGTATAGCTGGCTGTCTGGTGAGGGCAGAAATGGAAAAGTTGAAATGGAGTGTCCTAAAAGGTAGAGTGGCTGGCTTGAAACCTGAACAGGTACACTCCAAGCTGCAAGATTTCGTTTCCGGTTCCACTGCTTCATTCCATTCTGCAAGGCTTGTTTTCTAGCAAGATTTTTTCTAGCGAGGTTACAACAAATGGGGGAGAACAACAGAAACTGAAAAAGGAAAATAATATAGTAAGTTGTTTCTAAAATGTGGGAATGTTCTGGGGTGCAGGAGAGGATATATTGTGAGATTATATCCTAATCCAACTTGTGCTAACAAGTTCCCAAAATATCAGCAGAGTTTATGACATTCCCCTTTAAGTTCGCAACGGTAACGTCTGCACAGGTTCGCTAGAACCTCTATAATAATTACTCTGGTAATTTCCCCTTTTGTTCCCTCTTAAAATACAAGACACGACACAGTCTTTATAAAAGTATAAAAGAGTTTACTCACGTTCTGTTCACAATATGATCCCAGAAGGCAGACAGCTTAAAAAGGTTACATACATTCAGAATCTATCTTGTAGCAAGATAGTCCTTATCTCCTCTCTTGGCTGAGAGCCAAGAGGGCATGCTTAGATGTTTCCTCATTGAAGGAAGATGGCAGAGAGAGAGAATGGCTGGCTGCCCTGTGCTTTTATCATTTACCTGCACAGGTGAGGCCACACCCACCTCTGGTCACATGCGGAGGAAGTCCGTCCCCAGGAAGTTTACCTGCTTGCTGGACTGACATCCCTCCCCATGTTCTAACATGTACACTCTAGGACTGTTGTCATTGACTGCTCCTGTGTTTACATCCCACATAAAACACAGCTGGTTAATATGAGGCTGGAAAAGAAAAGAAAAGAAAATTTTAGCAAGTCTAAGAGCCAAAGAAAATGTGGAATAGGAGAGCTCTGAACAGATCACCCATCTGTTACATCTTCCTTATACCATCTGCAGAAGATGCTAGAGGGCATCAGCTAGTGACCCAAGTGAATAGACAGCCTCCTTTGAGAAAAGATTGCCTTTCAGATCTCCTGGTTTCTGACCACTTATTGTTGTTTAGTCGTTTAGTCATGTCCGACTCTTTGTGACCCCATGGACCAGAGCATGCCAGGCATTCCTGTTTTCCACTGCCTCCCGCAGTTTGGTCAAACTCATGTTAGTAGTTTTGAGAACACTGTCCAACCATCTCATCCTCTGTCGTCCCCTTCTGCTTGTGCCCTCAATCTTTCCCAACATCAGGGTGTTTTCCAGGGAGTCTTCTCTTTTCATGAGGTGGCCAAAGTATTGGAGCCTCAGCTTCAGGATCTGTCCTTCCAGTGAGCACTCAGGGCTGATTTCCTTCAGAATGGATAGGTTTGATCTTCTTGCAGTCGATGGGACTCTCAACAGTCTCCTCCAGCACCATAATTCAGAAACATCAATTCTTCGGTGATCTGCCTTCTTTATGGTCCAGCTCTCACTTCCATACATCACTACTGGGAAAATCATAGCTTTAACTATACGGACCTTTGTCGGCAAGGTGTGGTCTCTGCTTTTTAAGATGCTATCTAGGTTTGTCATTGCTTTTCTCCCAAGAAGCAGGCGTCTTTTAATTTTGTGACTGCTGTCACCATCTGCCGTGATCATGGAGCCCAAGAAAGTAAAATTTCCCACTGCCTCTATTTCTTCCCCTTCTATTTGCCAGGAGGGGATGGGACCAGTGGCCATGATCTTGGTTTTTTTTATGTTGAACTTCAGACTATATTTTGCACTCTCCTCTTTCACCCTCTGACCACTTAGGCCTTTCTAACTCAAGAATGACCACTAATCATGACAGCTATGTATTGCCTCCACTAATATTGGCAATATGCCTCTGAGTACTAGCTGCTGGGGAATAACAGTAGGAGACACTAACCTCAACCTGTTTGCACTCATAGCTTGCTTGTGGGCTTCCTTGGAGACTCTAGTTGGCCACTGGGGGATGAGAATGTTGAACTAGATGGGCCTATGTTCTGATCTAGAACAACTGTTCCTACATTCTTAACCAACTTCCTGATAAGCATTATGGATCTTTCCGTATCAATGACATACGACAACTGCACAGGGTCCCCATCAGCAACATTGTCAACACTGCATTCGGAACCAGCCAAAGTTTCTAACGCTTTTCAAAGATCTGGTAAATGATGCATTAAGAGCAATCTATTTGATTGCACCCCATTGTTTTGTAATAATTGATTATGAACGGGGATTTATAAAGCTGCAGTGTTTATTAATGAAGGGAGACTTCTGCAAGAGAGCTTGGTGGGGTTTGTTGTTTTTTACTCTGCCTAGTCCTTTCAAAACCTTTTGAAATGCTGCCTACATTTTCATATCTGCCTCTGTAAGAGGCGGAAACTTCTGTGAGCAAAAAGCAACGCATTGTGCATCACTTGTTGGCAAAAATTAAAATTAAAAAGTGGCATCAAAATGCTGGAATATTCAGAAGAAAACAAATTAAGTTAAACCAAACAGAATGGGTCTGGTCTATTTAGCAAGAGTTCACTGAGATCGGTGGGGAAGGAGACAGGTTTTGGTCATCACTGTTTCAGTGAACACAACATACACAGTTAACTGTGTTATTGTTGGTTGTGCTATTGTGTATAGCAAGGAAGAGGGGGAATGAGAACCTGAGCTACAGGCTGCCTGTTTGATTCATCACCTTCTGATAACTCCAACCTAACCATGAAGCAACAGAAACAATCTTTGAGAGTGTTCATTATTCGGGGAAGAAATATACTGCCTCAGCTGGAGGGGGCGGAAGGATTGATGGACTTGCAGCAGTGAAGGAAACCATGATGTGCTCCTTCTTCACCAAACTGCCTGAGGACAAAAGCCGAATACTGAAAGAATGAGAGTGACTGTTCCTGTAATACTTTCAAGTAGGCTCTATTGACTCAAGGCCCTGGGAAGTAGATATCACACATTCAGTGTTCTGCGGAATCCTGATTTTCTGAGTTTCCAATGCAAATTAATTTATGAATGTGGCAAACAAAAAAGACACCCAAAATAACAGCACTGGACTTTTTTTTTTTTAGAAATAAGTGATAGGGAGATGCACTGGGAACTGTGGGAAGAGGGAGGCAGAGAATGAGAAGGTGAGCCTCCATTCACCAATAGCCTTGGCTCTTCCCATTATTGGCTTGTGGCCCCTGAAAGATTACCCCCAAGGGAATGTGGCCCTCAATTGGAAAAAAAGGTTTATTTGCACTCCTACATTTCCCCATCTCCACTATAGACCTATTTTCCTTTGTCAGATGTTGGGAGAGTATGCAAGTGTCATGGAGACAGCCTGGTCGATGGGCCCTCTGTGTTTGCGATTGCTGTTTGTTTTCTTACAAAGGTCACAAGCAAAAGCCTGCAAAAACTCCTAAAGGGTATTCTAAATGTTGAAGTTATTAAGCAGGCAGGTACAAATAAAAGGTCCATTGCAGCAGATGGAGGACCTGAGGCACTTGCGTGCCTGTGAAATGTTATTGGCATTTGATGCTGTGATAATTGCTTCATAATGTAAGCAATTTTGTTATGAATGTGAACATGGCAGACGATTCATTCTATAATGTATCATCTCGAGTTCAAGCTTGAGTCCTTTGACTTTTGTAATTTCCCAGAGCGAAATGAATGAAGATTGCAATACGCTTGAACTTAATTTATGCCATCACACGATGCATATTTTAGAAAGTGCGAGTTCATTAAATGGCCGAACTAAACTCTAGCAGTGTGTGTGTGTGTGTGTGTGTGTGTGTGTGCAACAGACATGACTATACACACAACATTAAGGCTGCAACCCTAAACACACTTACTAGGGAGTAAATGGTACAGAAAATAACAGCAAATGCACACACACAAGCACACACAGAGAGACCAGTACAAAGTAGACACTACTGGCAGCAACCTAATCATCTAGCTGGGAAAGCTTGTTGGAAGAAGAATGTCTTCAATTGCTTCTGAAAGGTGCAGATAGCGGGAGCCTGTCATATCTTGACAGGAATGCTATTCCACAGAACAGGAGCAGCCACACTGAAAGCTCAGCTCCAGGTTACTGAGTTCCATTTTGCTACAGGATGGTGAGCAGGGAATTGCTGTCGCTTGGAGCTGTATCCCTTGTGTTTAAACATCTGATTAAAAACTCACCTTTCCTCTTTCTGTCAGCTCTCGCAA